GATATAATAAAAAAATTAAAGTTAATTTTGTAATTACATTTAATTTAATCTAAACAGTCACTCAAATCCCTCCCAAACCTTCCAAATCGGGCGGATTGCAAATCTGCAGATTTGAGGGTGATTGGAGGGAATCCGAATTAGTCCATCTCCCTCCCCCTCTACCTTTTTGAAAACCCAAACAAAAGGAAGGAGACAGCTCTCCCTCGCTCTCCCTCCCTTGCCATCCGTCCCCATCACTTCCCCTCCCTCTCCATCCGACACCTCCAATCCAAACAATACCTAAGATTGATGTTGTTCTTTCTTTGAAATCTGTTTATAACTTCCTGGTTTGCAGAGAACTCGACGTGATGGCCAAGGGGTCTAATGTCGAAGTCTGAAAATTTGGAGGAGTTGATATGGGCTTAATTTCTTTAAACCTATTTACAAGCTGGGCCTATGCCTGTCATACCCACGCATCTTCAAGTCGAGCTAGTTGATAGTTATACACGACATAATCATCTGCACGTTCTGGGCCAGAGTCGGCTGTAAGTTCCCAAGATCTAGGCCCTTCCCTTTATGTGATTTTTTTCAATATATCCTACATCATGGGTGTGGTTATGGACACCTGTGATAATATTAAGATCATGCAGTTTTCTTTAATTTAATTATTAAAAATAATTAATATTTATTATTTAATATATTAAAATTAACTTATAAATTAATATTTTTAGACATCATAATTAATTAATTTTAAAAAAATTATAAATTAATAAATATTAAGTAAATTAAATAATATTTATGTGTTCTTAACAAAAATATATAGTAGGCAGCCAGCCACCAGCTACTTGTTCTAACAAAGGTCAGCCAGTAATCAGCCTTAAGTACCGTAGCCACAGGCCAATATTAATCGGTCCCAAACCCAAAATCATTGAGTAACTTTGTAGTTCCAAATTTAACAGGGATCAGTTCCAACTAAACCAAGTTGGTATGGCCACCTCAAAAGGCTAAAACTAAGTTCAATGTGTGTATGCTCATGTATATATAGAGAATACATAAAAGGGAGGGAGCATACAAAGTACAACAACAAATGAAAAGAGTTTGGTTCTCCTTAAATAAAATTTCAAGTTCAAGTCTTGTAAATGAAGAAATAGATGTTGAGAGAACTTTTTTTTAATAAGGTTGGATGAGACTCGATTCTGAATTAATTGGGATTCAACGTGATTATTAGATACAGAGAAATTATTACCAAAAAACAACTAAGATAAAAAAATAAAACAAAAATATAGAGTTCCTAGTAATTAACGATGAAGAATAGAACTATGAAATAGTAATTCTCACATTTTAAGCAGAAAAAAAAAAAAATGAAAAGTGAAAACAGCCGGTAATGTTGTAGTCTTGTAGATCAGATCCGCCCGGTGATTCCAACAATAATCAGCCTAATTAATCTGACA